TATTTAATAATATTTAAAATAACAAAAACTATTTTCTCCGTTTTAATATAATATCTAATTTCGACCAAATTTGAACTATATTACAAATACTGTGATTATWAATTTTTWAATTTTTTAAATTAATTTTTTGGTTACAATTGCAATGATACTACATATAATCAACCTTGTTTTAAATAGTTTAAATAATAATTTATTRTCAAGGCAAAACCTTGGAAATAAAAAAATATATTTTAAAATATCATAGTCGTTGTGTGTATAAAATTAAATACTATACCTACWATACAAAATTTCATTAGTTTCATGTACCACAACCAATATATTTTATGATTACCTACYTACAACAAAATAACTAAAACCATTATTCTTAGTTTAAATAWGTAATTTCGTCAAAATTGGAAGTTAAGAAAACTATATAAAAATCTTTATTTATGTAATATATTATCTATTAGATTTTTTGATTATCGATTACAGCTTACAGAATTAAATACTTATATGCAACCTTGTCTTAAATTTTCATTCCCGAGCTATAAAAGTTGTACATTTTATACATTTTATACATTTTAAGTATCTTCAAAATAATTTACAAATTTTGAATTTCGTAAAAAAAAATATCATGCCCATTTATTTTCAATATTTTTCAACTGCTATTGTAAGAATAAATCAGCCATCGGGAGCTTGAATTAAGTTTTATAAACACCAAATAAAATTTTACTGACATTAAATATAGAAAAATGAAGAAAAAACGTTCTACGGCTCAATACGAGTCAAAATATTTTAAAATTTTATTATAAATTAATGAATGGTAAAATAAATATTTGGTGTAAATTGCAAGTATCTATGGTTAATGGTTTTTTAATTACTATAAAATCAGAAAAGCGTTCTTCATGATTACCTATATCCAATGTTTAAAAACTTMAAGTGCTCATGAAAATGTAATATAACTTTTTTTTTAAATAAGGTGAACAAACTTATTAGAAATCTAGCATTAATTATTAAAATCTTARATATAAAAAGAATGGTATTTATGAATTTTTAACATAAAATAATTTTCCTCTTTACGTTTTTCTTAATTTAAGTAAATA